AGAATTTAATCTCAGGAAGAGCAGTGAGGCACTGCATAGCTGCACAGGGAGGTGGGGAATCACCACGTCTGGAGGCATTCAGAGCTGTGGGGATGTGGCACTGAGGCACACGGGCAGCAGGCAGTTGGAGTTGGACTTGGGGATTTGACAGGTCTTTTCCAACCTTAACAATTCTATGGGGTTGTTGGATCATTGTAGGGCCTGTGCTCCAGATGCTGGCCAGTGCTCTCCTGTTTCTGGGAGAGGGTGCCAACAGGGAGGTGTTTTAGAACAGATATAAGCCTCACGCAGAAGAAAATGATTTTTGTTTTATTTTAATGCAGGGGGAAAATCTCCCTGCCAGCATCCAACTCCCCCTGCCTGTCTGCAGAACGGAGCAGTGAGGGCATTATAAATAATTTATTCTCCGGGCAGGGGGAGGAAGGGAAGAAGAGAGAGTGAGCTTTTAATTAAAATGATATCTTACAGATCAAATAAATATGAATACGATGCCAGGAACAACTGTACAAATCCCAAACATTCTCTTGTGTTTTAATTATTTGTGTTGATAAAACAAGAGCGCAGGCGTTTTGCTCTGCGTGGAGAGCGAGGAGGCAAAAGGTTATGCTGGCTTTTTTTATATTCTTTTCGAGGAACAAATGTTTCAGAAGCACAGATCTGACAAACTATAATTCATATCAGGAATTAAATTGGAATTTAGAGAACAATTGTTAATATTTCAGAGTAATTGTTTAAGAAATTATCATTTTCGTATCTGCCTCAAAAATAATTACCCACCACTAATTTTTCTTTTTCAAAGGCTGCTATTTGTTGGAATAGAGGCAAGATGGGGATTTTTGCTGTGGGCTATTTATGTAGTTCAAATGAGGAGATAAATAGGAAGGGACTTTTATGCTCGTAGGCAAATGAGCCTGACTAATGCACGGCTTCAAGCTTAAAAGTGGGCTCTGCTTTCATTTGGAAATCTGGGCAAGTTCTTATGGATGGGATTTGCAAGTCACAGCAGGAAAGTGGAGAATCAGCCCCTGTGCATGTTAATTAGGGATGAGGCCCTGGAGGAACCCCTGCCACGTGGAGAAACCCTGCACAGGCACAGGGTGCCCACACTGAGGGTCTTCCTCTGCGCATGCGGACCCCAACAGCACAGCCCCACCTCGTCTCTCTTTGTTCCGTGTCCATGGGAATAAGGTCGAATGTTCGTGGGTTATGTGTGTGCTTTTACTGCTGGTTTTACAAACAGCCAGTGCAGCTTCCCAGTCAATGGGATTATGATCTATAAATACACTGCAGTCACTGCGCAGTATAAATGAGGGATACGGTTTTCACTCTCAAAAAGAGTCAGAGAATCATAAAGCTTGGAAAAGACCTCAGATGTCACCCAGTCCAACCGCCCGCCAACCACCAATGTTGCCCACGAAATCGTGCTCTTTAGTACTGCATCTAAAGGTTTCTTGAACATCTCCAGGGATGGTGACTCCACCTCCTCCATGGGCAGCCCATTCCACTGCCTGACATCTCTTCCAGAGTTCTTTTTCTTAATACCCAATATGAACATCCCCTGGCACAATTTGAGGCCATTCCCTCTCTTCCTATTGATAGTTACACAGGAGAAGAGGCTGTCCCCCACCTCACCACAACCTCCTTTCAGGGATTTGTAGAGAGAAATAAGGTCTTCCCTGAGCCTCCTCTTCTCCAGATGGAGCAATCCCAGTTCTCTCAGCTGCTCCCTGTAAGACTTGTGCTCCAGACCCCTCACTGGTTTCGTTGCCCTTCTCTGGGCACACTTCAGGGCCTTGTAGTCAGGGGCCAAAATGAATGCAGTAGTCAAGATACGGCCTCACCAGTGTCAATACAGTGTTAAAAGAAGAACTGTTGTGTATTTATCACAACCCTACTGTACAACCCTACTGTACAACCCTACTGTACAACCCTACGGTACAACTCTACGGTACAACTCTACCATACAACCCCACTGCACAACCCTACTGCACAACTCTACAACCCTACTGAACAATCCTACCCTACGACATCACCAAACAGCCTTACCATAGTACCATACTGCTTTTGCAAGCAGCCTGCTGTGAGAGGGGAATCACTAGTTCTGCTCTGTCAGATCATCAGCACACTGATGGGCTCCTGGAATGGAGGATGGATACTTGAGCATTTAGACCATGGGGAAAAAATTGGGTAGAAGGGATCTTGAGCATCGTGTTCTGCATCCCATCATCTTGGGTTGGGGTCATCTGTACCATTGCTCTCACAACCTGCCCCTACAGTCTCCTGTGCTGCAGTGCTGTGTCCTTCTCTTCCCTTCAAACATTGCTTTCTTCAAAGGAAGAAGACAAACTGTGCTTGTGACAGCACCAGGAAGGGTTCAGCAAGTGACAGTTTCAAGGAATTGCTGTAAACTCCTCTGATCAGAGATTGCATTAAAGAGGGAACTGCTTCCATGAAAACACGTTCAAAAGGAAGACCATTTTTGTTTTCTTTTTTTTTTCTTTTTTTCTTTTTTTTTTTTTTCTGCCAAATGATTAATCCATCTTTGTTAACGCATCCTCAAATGCGTTTTGAAACATCTCACTTACTGACGCACGCTTCTTTTTACCAGCTACTCTTTCTCTCAGCAACGCTGATGTTGATGCTAATTTTCAAAATGCAGAAGGAGAAGCAGTATTTTGCACCAAGCCTTCTGGGAAAGGCTATTTCTCCCCACAGAAGCTATTTTTCTCATGAACTTTTTGAACCACCCCAATGCCAAGACACCTTCTGGCTTCCCCAGGAGCTGCCTGCCCCAGATGTCCTCTAGGGCTTACGTGTCCCTCCAGGTTAGTCCATATGAATGACCCACAAAACTGTCCTGCAGTTTCCTGCAGGAAGATCCAACGGTGGTTGGGTTGTTCATGCTTCTTCCACCCACTTCGTGCAATACCTCCCCCTTCCCTTAGATCTCAAGGACTTCACAGTCTCCTGAAGATGATGGTCTGGAGGCTAACGAGGAATACACTCAACCTTTACAGACACTGTGATTAAAGATTACTGGAGAATGTAGGAGAAGTAAGAAAAAAAAACAAAACAGAAAACACTCCTTTTGGTTTCTTCCTCCCAGTTTGTTGCAAGCATCCCAATTACCAAGCAGATCACAGGGGCTCTGCTGGAAGACATTGGTATCCACAAATTAGCAGGCTGCAGCGGGAGCAGTAATTAAGGAGGCTTTGTGTTTGCACTGGTTTGGGGCTGTCACTGCTGTTTGTGTGCTGCCTGGATCCAGGGTCCCCTTGCACACCCGGGCTCTGAGAGCCTGCTGTGTGATGTGGCAGTTTGCGTCGGTTCTGCCATGCTTCTTAAATAATTGCTGTGTTTTAGGAATTAATTATAGTGATTGCAGGCGAAGGGACAAAACGCAGCCAAGTGGCAGTGGCTCGTGGGGACGTGGGTAAAGCACCACTGCCTGTGGGCAGGAAGCATCGTAGGAAATAGGAAAACATCCTTTTCCCCAAGGTCTCCAGGTGGAAAAGGGAAGACACAGGCAGCAGGCCACCTGCTGGATGGGGCAGTTGGGAAGATGTGGAGAACCAACAGGCACCATCTGCTACTGGAGCAGAGCTGCTCGAGTCTGTGCTCTGCTTTCAGTGGATCATGGCATGGGATTTGCAGTACCACAAGATTTGTAGCACAGATCTGTTTGCAGCAGATGCCTCTGCCAGGAAGTTTCCCCCTATTATGAGGCCAGTATTATTCTATTCTTAATTTAAACCTACATTACTTGTTATGCAATTGTGTAGAGGCATTAAAAAAATCTCCTTTTCATGTTGTTTATCATCTCTAAATATCAAAGCTAACAGCCTGAGTTTCCTCTGCTCTTTACAGAGTGCCTCATAAATCACCACTGACTGCTGGGATCGCTTTGGCCTCTCTTCCCCATCGTCCTATCTGCAGAAATGGGCTGCACATTTCCACGTGGATCGGGTCTGAATTGGCTGTCTGAACCCAGAGATTAAAGAAACAGCAACCTCTCTCTCTCCTACAACTCATTTGTTTCACGAAGGCTAAAAATGGCATCACCTAATACAGTGCAATAATCTTTCCCTTTCCCTTTCCCTTTCCCTTTCCCTTTCCCTTTCCCTTTCCCTTTCCCTTTCCCTTTCCCTTTCCCTTTCTCTTCACTTTCCTTTTCCCCTTCCTCTCCTCTCCTCTCCTCTCCTCTCCTCTCCTCTCCTCTCCTCTCCTCTCCTCTCCTCTCCTCTCCTCTCCTCTCCTCTCCTCTCCTCTCCTCTCCTCTCCTCTCCTCTCCTCTCCTCTCCTCTCCTCTCCTCTCCTCTCCTCTCATCCTTTTGTGTAGAATCACAGAAGCACACAACATCCCAAGTGGAAGAGACCCATAAGGATCATTGAGTCCAATACCTCCTCAGCAGCAGCAGGGGCTGGGTTTTGAAGCACTCCTGCTCACTGAAGCATGTATGCAGGGTCAGCTGGGAAGATGCTAAGAGAAATCACATAGTTTTTTGCACTTTTTTTCCTGACAACTCAAATACTCCATAAAACACAACACCACTTCCCACTCCCATCTATCTAGAAGCATCCCTTAATGTAGTGGCATAAACTTGATGCTGACATTCTCAGCTTCCCCTTTTTCACAGAATCACAGAATCACAGAATGGCCAGGGTTGGAAGGGACCTCAAGGATCATGAATCTCCAACCCTCTGCCGCATGCAGAGCCATCAACCTCCACATTTAATACTGGACCAGGCTGCCCAGGGCCCCATCCAACCTGGCCTTGAACACCTCTTGGGACGGGGCATCCACAGCCTCTCTGGGCAGCTGTTCCAGCACCTCACCACTCCCCCTGAAGTTCTTTTATTTCTTAAAGGCTTTATAACAGGCTGACTAATTAATGTGCATTTTGCAAGGCCTAAGAATCCATGAGCATCCTCAGGAGTCTGAAGAGAAAGGTCATCCTGTCTATATCCAAGGCAGATCACCACTAGACAGGTAAGAAAATGCAAGAATCCCTTGGCATTCTGAATACTTTATCTGCCTTCTTATATGCTCACAAATGGCTATTGTAAACCACGTTTTCTCTTCACCAAAAATACAAAACCAACAGAGATGCATGTTTCTCTGCTGATGCTGGTGATGCTGCAGGTCTAAGGAGGCTTTCTGGTTATTGAGGGAGCTGCCCGTATATTTTTGTGTACAGGGGAGCTGCTTGCAAGGAAGGCTCACTAATTAGAGGGAAAATATTTGATCTCCATAGGCTTTTGGTGAAATATCTGAGAAAGGCAGCAGATGTTGCTGAAATTATTTTTCATCTGTTTTCCCCTGTTTTCTTACCATGTTTCATCTGCTTTACCCTGTTTTCTTATGTGGTGCATCAAATTAAAATTCAATAAACTGCTCATGGCTGTTTACTGGGGAGTGCAAAAAAATTGCTCTAGATTAAAGCTGGTGCCTCATCCAGTGCAGAGTATGTGCACTCACCCCAGCATCCCTTTGCCTTACTTCTGAAAGCCACAGATTACCCAGAGCCTTCAGCAACGAGTTGTCAGACTACCCAAAATGTGTTGTAGCGCAGCCAGCCCGTATTTCTCCATGGGGTCTGATGTCATCCTGGCAAGTACGGCATCTAGATGATATGGATTTGTAAGGACCTGCCTTGAATTACTCCTTTTCCCAGTAGTTCAGCTCTCTGATAGCCAGAAAGCTTCTAATCAGGCTCCTCAATCCAAAAAGAAAACCAGCAGAGATGTAGGACAGTCTTGATGACCATCCACAACGTCTTGTGGAGGAACCTGACTTCTTCTGAGTGGCTTCAGGTGAGGGAATTTTGAAGACAAGAACCTGAATCCAGGTGTGATCTCTTCAGTTCTAAAAGTCTTGAGAGTCTGAAAGCTGCATTTTGGAAGTTTTAGCCCTTGGATGTGGTGTGTCCTACATCATGGGCAGCACCATTCAGAGAGCAACCACAGACGGGTCTCTCTGGAGAACCATTCCAAGGGTCCATAGAGAATCACTTACACAGATTGGACATCAAACGCTGTCTCAAATCCAAAACCACTTGGTTTTGGTTGTAGAGGCAAAGCAAGCATCTTTATGAGTTTGCTTGTCTTATTTCGACCCAAAATCATCTACAGGACACTGCATTCAGGCCCACTGGACAGGTCAGTTAATTATGTTGAGTGGGTCAATAGATGGATCAATTTATCAAATGATAAATAGAGATTCTGCTTTCATCAGGGTAGTGAATATTAATTGATTTGACAGGCAGAAGCTTGGTAAAACAAGTTGAAGTTGCATCAGGGCATCACTGTATTAATTAGCCATGTTGAAGCTGCTTTTAGCTGCTTCCGAAGTTTAATCAATATGCTGCATTTGAGTCCCAAAAGGCTTATGGAAACAGCCTTTGAAATCCTCTAAATTGCTGCCTCTGTGAGGTTTTAGACTCTTTACTTATTCTTGTTCTGCTGTTTTTCTTCCTTATTTTTTTTCTCCCTCCTGCAATCAATAGTGACCCACAAGAATTGGTAGGGGTGGGTTTTCTTATTTGTATCACAAATTTGCATTGGCTAGGAACAGAAATGAAATGAGAAAGATCTTCTGTTTTAGTACAATAATAGTAATAATCCTGGACATTAATGAGCTGCCCTCTGTCTTCCAGTTTCTATATGCAGTAAATTACCTCTATAGACTTAATCTGATGTGAATGAGCAAGGCACCAGTTAAATCATGTTTTCCTGAGCCCTCGCATACTGCTCAGACTTTGATTTAATACAAAGTAAGGTTTGAGCTTGCTGATATGTTTTACTGAGCGGGAGGAAGGAGAAGGTGGAGCTGGAAATGAGGCCAGAGAATTAAACTATGCAGAGAAGGGGATGGAGACCCTGAGACTGCTGGGTGCAAGGGTGGTCGTCTAGGACTGCCCTGGTGGCATCCACGCCACTGGCCAGCTTTGTGTGTGTATGGGAACTGCTGAGTCCCAGCCTGATTGAGCACCTGGGGAAAGCACCTGGGAAAGCACCTGGGAGCACAGGTGAAGGCAATGCATCTGTGTGACTGGAAGTGATGGAACCTCTCTTCGACGTCATTGAAGGGCTGACTGCTGCTGGGGAAGGATCTCTCTTTGGAGATCCCTCCTTGGTGGAACTTTCTCCTGCAAACCTGGAATCTTCTGATGTGGGTGAGCAATCTTCTGCCCTTCTTTTACCTTTCTTTTACCTTTCTGCTGTGCTGCTCCTTCTATCATAACACCTTTCCCATTGTGTTGATCTGTCCAATTGCTACACCAGCTGAGGTTTTTGGTATATCTGCATGACATGAAGGATCAGAAAAACCACCATCAGGGCTGCTGGTCACCACCCCCATATGACCTGTAAACTTGCAGGGATCTGAAATACATTCTCTAAATATGAGTTTCTGCCCTCATAATCATGGTGGCTTTTTGCTATTTAGACTTCTCATTCCTTTCTAAGACAAAATATCTTCAGATATGCCCATAGTGGGTTTCTAGCATGCTTCCCCTGTGCCTTCAGCAATTGTGTGTGTGTTGACTTCCTGAGGTCGCCACTGCAGATGCCACACCAGTGCAGTCAACACGGGAAGACCAACATTGCTTGAAACATTACTCAGGGCCCCAGCATAATTATAACAATTACAGAGTCAGGCCCTGAGCTGTGCTTTCTGACGCACGCATCTGCCACGTGGGTTTCATTGCATGTGCACATCCTGTTGTTAATAATGGAAGATACCCCAATCTCTCCAGGGGCAACAGTCTTTGCTACGGGCAAGGTACTAAATCACACTTGAAGTTTCTAGGCCAAAATGTTTTACTTTTTATTTTAGAGGAATAAAGTTCCAAACAAGTGTGGGGTAAATTTCCAGGCCTGATTAATCTGGCTCACCTGGTGATATGGAGAAAGGGGAGCAGCCTTGTGGGAGGTGGAGGCAGGACCATCCTGTAGAGATGGCATAGAAATCATTAGGTGGAATTATTGTTTTTTTTTAAAAAAAAAAAAAGTCTTGAAGAGCACTCATGCATGCCACAACTCCCCAAATGCAGAGTTAACTCTTTCCATATCTGTTCAACCTACCAGCAGCATTTTTTTTGAAGGTACCAGCAATTTCTCTGCTCACAGGCCCTGCCAACCTTCAGTCTTACAAGCGCCATGGGCTTTTGAGCCAGAAGAAGGCAAAAAGCCAATTTTAATTAGTGGTATTTTGCAAGCCTAGGTTGGCCAGTACCTGTTGAAGCAACCTTTGCTGCCTCAGTTAATCCCTGCCACCGTTGCAGCAGATGGAAGCTCCTCCAGAAGGTGACTTGAGGAGACTCTGACATTCAGGCCTGTATGTCTTTCCCATTTAAGTGTCCCCTTGTCTTTCTCTTTCTTCTACACCTTTATCCAAAGGACCATGGATGTGACTGCAGTCTGCATGCTGTAGGGTGCATCTCAGAGGGATCTTCATTCCTCCCAGCCTTGAGCACATGTGATGCAGAGGTCCCAATTTTGAGCTATTCTACCCACCTCTTTCCGTCACACAGATGTCTTCAGATCTGGTGACACAGCAAAATCCTCTTTCCGTGTGGGATGGCAGGTTGGGAAGCTGATCTGGATGCAACTTATGCATGCTGGGGGCTTCTCTGAAATTGTTGTGCTTGTGAATGTGGGTACGGAACAGGCTGTGTAGAGTCAGGGCTCCCTTCTGGGCTGTGAAGAATGGCAGCAACAAACATTAATAGCTTCTCCTGAATGAGTGAGTGTGAATGTTCAGAAGCCCAATTAGTCTGTGACTTCTACAGAGGCTTCCCACAGAGGAGGACAAAAACGTGGAGCGGGGCTGAATGGGGTAGAGGACAAGAACAGAACAAAAATTAATGTTCTGCAGCCAAGGGAGCCCCTTATTTGAGTCCCTGTGAGGCCCAGGAGTCTATGAACCTGCAGGGCTCTTGTGAAGGAGTCTGAGTCAGCTTGGTGGAGGTCCTGGCAGAAAGCCGAGGTGCAGAAGGGGCACACCAGCAGGTTGCCATTGCTTTGGAAGGCAATGCAGAAGGCACTGTGGTGAAGTGCTGCGTGGGCTTCAAGGGATCAGCCCTTCTCATCTCACCTGGGCTTTGTTTGTGGGCTGCTGGAAAGACAGGCACAGCATCTGGGACACCATAGCATGTGTGGAAATAAAGGAGAAATTTGAGCAGGAGGCACTGAAGGAAAGCCACTGGGCTGCTGACCTTGTGCTCAGGCCGTTTGGGTGGGGGCTCTAACCATGCTAATGGTTTCCAGCACTGCTGCCCTGAGCAATGGTGCTCAAACCTATCCCTGTGATTTCTTCCAGAGACCCTTGAAGTGCTTGGTGGTGTGCTGAGGAAGGTTCTTGGATCCCAAAGCAAGAAGCAAAGCCACTTGGTATGTGGGATATACTTCCTCTGTCATTCCAGTGATGTCACTCCCAGGACCCTGATGTGATAGAGACCCTCCTTGTCTGTAGGGTTAGCCTTTCCTCTTGCACTTATCCCCATTCTCGAGGGTAAAAGGCCCTTTGCTGAATAGGAAAAAAATACAAGCCTCATGTCACTGATAGTTTTAAAATTATAATGGAAACCTTCCGTCAGTGGTGACACAATTACCTGCCCATTTTCCTGCTCCACCTCATTAAAAGGAAACTGTTACAATTAAGGCACGGGCGGGAGGAACGGATTAATGTTCTGTTTCTAATGCATTGATGAATTGGCACTTAGTCAAGGGGTTTAAAAATATTAAACCCTCACAAAAGCCATCCCAGAAGGGAATGCTGTCTGCTGAGGGGCACTTCTTAGTGTGGACTGTTGGCTATTCATCATTCATGTTAAAGGGATGCAGTGGTGTTTGCAGTGGGAGTGGGATTTGCTTAGATTTGTCTGCTGGTGTTCCGTGGGGTGGCCACGTACTCCACGGAAGATCTTCTCTAGGTGTTTCCCTTCACAGAAAATCAAATTCTTTTTCGGTTTGTTTGGTGTATTGTAGATATAATTGGACATCAGCTGCTGTTATTCTTGCTTTTTAATCCCTTTTCTTTCCTTTTGGCGTGTCTTTTTTAGGCATGGCTTTGTTCCACCGCATACAAAATTGCTTCATTTTTTTTTAATCCTGTCTTCATACCAGATCCTTGCTACATGGAGGGAATACTGAGCCTGGCAGAGGCGTGAGCTGGGACATTGCCTTTCCCCAGCCCCAGCTCCCATTTGCCTTTGGGAACTCCCTGGCCCTCTATGGGAGCCACCCTGAGGAGCAGGATGCACTGCCTGCAGCAGTAAAGCTGCTCCAAAGGGGGTGTGAAAATCTGTACCCAGATTCTACACCCAATTCCGACATTATCTAACTCAATTTCAGAGCCTTTTCGTGGCCTCAAGCTGAGACTTGGGGCCCGCCATGCCCACATTTGCTTCACCGCCAACAAGTCTCAGCCCTCCTATAATGAAAATGTCACTAATGATAAATATTTATAGGGATGCTTATCTTTATATTTACTACCTTGACCTTTATCTATTTGGATTTTATTTTAAATTTTATGCGGCTTGCCTTTGCCTCTTCCCAGCCGCGGAGCAAGAAGCTCTGCAACGGCTCCGAGATCGCTGCTGCATTATAAATACGTGCACAGTACATACAATTACAGAACTTTAATGTCTGGTATAATTACTGTCTGCAGTTTGTATTAATGCTCAGGGTGATATAGTGAAGCAAGGCGCTCAGACACTGCGAGATGCACGTCCCGAGGGGCAAAGGAAAATCATTGCTCGCGATCCTGCGATTAATTATTGTGCTTTGCGTGGAGAGGCTGAGATTCTTCCCAAGCACTTCTTGCACCCACGGTTGATTGAAATGCCTACGCAGGAACGGCGCTGCTGCGCGTAGCCTGCAGGCAGGGCTGTGCTTCATAAGCAAGCAAAGGTCCTCAGTTTTATTCTTGCAGTGTTGCGAGGGAAAATTGAGGAAAACAGCAGGAATGAAGAGGAGAACATGAGTCAATGCATTTTAAAAAGTGATGTGTGTTCACTTGCAGGAGGCTTCCCCCATGCATCGCCTGGCCCAGGACCCAGGAGGGTGTGCCAGGAGATTCTGGGAGCTCGCTCTGCTCCAGAGTTTATTATTGTTAAACTTAATTAATCGCTTAACTGAATGAAATTATTGAATTATTGATGGAGTTCAGCAGATCCATGGGGGCAACTGGATCAGAGCATCAGGGATGCTCCAGGCTGAGCTGCACAGGGCACCAACCTGTTGTAGCTCCATGGGATTTTTGAACTGGATGCCAGTGTTGCTGCCCACCACAAGAAATGGGCTGAAAACTAAAGGGCTTGGTCATTTGCAAACTTGTCCTTGCTACCAGTTTGGGTGTTAGAGCAGTGCAAGTGCATATACATGTTGCTGATGTAGGGAAATCAATCACCTCAAATCACCCTCACACATAAAAAAAGAAAAAAAGCTCACTAGGTCAGCCCTTATTTTTTTGGTCACGGTGGCATCAGATGTGAATCCTTATGGCTAAGTGTGCAATCACAGCAATTGAGTGGGTTCTGCACATCAGGGGCTGGGAGCTGATGGGAAGAAGGAAGAAGAGGAACCCTGGAAAATTCTGTGTTGTGGAAGGACGAGGATGGATGACAGGCTGCCTCCAGGTAAGGAGACATCCCAGTGCAGTGCTGGGAGGACTGAGGACCAGATTTAGCCAAGGAAGCCATCAAGGAACAGAGCAGCTCCCATGGCCTTGTGGAGAAGGGAATTCCCAAGGGACAGGTGTCTGGAAGCCTTGGTCGAGTCCCATGGATGATTTTCTTCTGAGGAAGGGGGGAAAAAAATTGAAGAAATAAGATAATTGGCTTGATTGGGCTTTGCTGAAAATCTAGAAGAAAGGGAAGAGAAAGTGCTGAGACAGCTCCTTTCTGTGTCTTTGAACTTTAGGCTTTGAAAAGAGGTGCGGAAAAGCTTAAGGAATTAACGAGGACTACTGGGAAATCACTCACCAGGAACTTTCAGTGCTCTGAACTCAGGAAAGAAATGGGAAGAAAATCCTTTATGTGTACATATACATGCACCTATGCACTTAGATACATACGTAGCTGAGAGCATGATCCCTTCAGCCTGCCATTAATCTTCTTCCCCAGTGTTTTCGTGCTGCATTAATGGTGGGTGTTGTTGACAGGGTGGCTGGGAGGGTGAAAGCTGCATTTCCCCATGCCAGGGGCTGCAGAGGAGGCAGAGGCAGATACCTGGGGCTCCCTGGCAGCGCCTGTTGAGGATCAGCCTTGATCAGAATAGGTCTTCTCACAGGAAATATCAACTTTTTGTCAAAAAAGCCTGAAGATAAATATTCCTGGATGAAATCCTATAAAAAGCTCAGACTGACAAACTATTTTTTTTTTCAGGCACTTCTTTTTCTCCCAACAAGAATATATCTGTCAAGAGAAACAGATGTTCTCTATGAAAAATCTTCTTTAATTACAAGTCTGTCAAAAGGAGGTGAGATGGATTTTTATTTTTTCTTTTTTTTTTTTTTCCACTGAGCCCATTGAAGTGCATGCAGTCGGCCAAGGTTGAAAGGCATGGCTCCTTCCAGAGTACAATAGCTAAATAATTTTCTCTGTTGAGCAGGTTGAGCGGGAGCAAAGCCACCAGCCAAAACACTGTGACAAACCCACAACCGGCAGCTGAAAGCTCCTTACCCAGAGCTCAGGACATCTGCACATCACACCAAATGTTGCATAATAAAAGAAGACTGTCTGAAATCTTACACTTCCAGGTGATTATTGAAAGCTTGCTTTTTTTTTTTTTTTCTCCTTCTCTCCATGCATCCAGTAAATACTTTAAAAGACACATATGGGCACTTGCTATCAGCCCTCAATTTGAGGCCAGCCTGGTCTCCAGGGGCCTTCAGACAATGGCAGTGGGGCATAAATGTTAGAGGAGGTTCCTCTGGTGTTGTGTTGGCACAGTGTGTTATCCAGGAGAGCAAAGTTCTGTTGGAAATAGGAGCAGGACACAAGGTTGATATTTCTTTATTTCTGGCTTCCAGAAACTGGCTACTACGTGGTTGAATAGTTGGATGAAAATAATCAATAGTTCTTGTCCACTAATGAATGATTTTCCAGCAGTTGCCAGTGTAAATAGGTTTCATTAAAACAGCAAATCCTCCCAAACAAGAAAATTAATGAGAGCTTATGAAACCTATGAAATTGCATGGGTCTGACAGTGATGACAAATCTCAACTATTGTTATTTTTGGTAAACAGATTTTCTTTTCAATTTTCAACCTTGTCACTTAAATAATAATACTGAGCAAATCCCACCGTTTCTTTCCCAGAAATCTTCACGTGTCTCAAGCCTCAAATCTGTGAATGGTTTCAGCCCCAGGCAGGAAATTGCCCCTTTCCTGAGCAGCTCCTGTGCCCTTCTTCAGCTCTTGTCATCCGTGCAGCTGCACCAATAAACTGGGAATTTCTGGAGTTTAATTTTCAGATGAGCCCGCTTCAAATCAATGGAGCTGCTGCTTTTTGTGACTCCTGGGAAGGAGATGGCATGGAAACAACCCACAGTCATGCCCAAATAAGAAAACTAAAAGAATTATTGGTTTTGGTCAACCTGGAACATGGCTCTTTTTTGCCCTGACATTTTCCTAGAGGAAAGTGAAACTCTTCATCTGCAGATTCAAAAGAATCCCAAAGGCACTCTGTCAGACATCTCCCAACGTGCTCTCAGTTATTGCTGGATGGATCACAAGCTCTCCAGGGAGCAGTGAAGATGTTTTTGTGGGTTGCAAAACCCAGGTCAAAGCTTAAAGCTGAAAATACTCAATTCCAGTGTCTGCTTCTTGCTTCCAGAGGAGCTATCTGCTCATTGTCTTTGTCTTCATCATCTTCATCTTTGTCTTTGCTTTCTGTTTGTCTTCCTTCTTTTTTTTTTTTCTCTCTCTCCTCGTCCTTTTCTTCCTTCCTCCAGCTCATAAATCCCCACCTCCCCTCCTTTCCTTCTCCCCTTCATGCATTGCATGCTGAATGCAGGAGGCTCTCAAAGGCAAGAGCAGGCTTGGGACACTCTTACCCACAACAGCAGCGGTGAACAGAACCCAGGTTTTCAGCCAGGAAATTGCACTGGTAATCTCCTTTGAGGGAGGCACTCCCATTTTTCATGATGGTTGGCCCTTGTGGGATATGGATGAAAAGAGAAAGCATTTCATTTGCTCTTTGAAAACTGGAGCTATAGATCAAGGCCCCGCTCGTTCCCCTGAAGACTAGAAATGGGATTTCTGCAAGAATTGAGGCTATCCTCTCTGAAAACTAAAACAGTTATCTACACTTTCATCGAGAGGTCAGCAGTAGAGACTTTTCTCAAACAGCTGGATAAATCCAGGCTGTTAGCGCCTCTCCTTCCCGCTCTCCTCTGTTATTGCTTTTCATTACATGAAGGGTGAGGAACAAGCAAATACCTCTGCTTCCCAGCTTTGCCCTTGCCTGTTTGTACAAAGCAGCCAAATATTTCCTTCTGACTCTCAGGCCCCAAGTACCTTTGGTGTCTATATTTTTTCCATTGGATGCCATGGTCTGGATGCAGATGCCCAGGGCTGCTTAATCCTAGCAGATGGCATAGAAATGTTATTTTTCAGACACGGGCACTCCTCCATGGGTGCCACAGGACCAGGGCATCCTTTGTCACCTGGACCCAGTGCAATCTCCTGTGACACTGGGCAGGAGGGTTTGCAGAGTCACGCTGCATCCTGCGTCCCTGAGCCTTGCAGCCATAAATCCTTTGCCTCTGCCATAACCGTGATTGAGCCTGCCTGGCTTAATTCATTCCTCCAGAGCCCACACGGTTATGGCAGAGATGATTGCCTGCTCAAGGAGCAGCACTTGGGATGAAATCTTTTCCTCTTGAGAGTACTGCTGGAAAAACAAGGCAGCATCCATGAGCTGCCAGCATCCCTGTGTAGGCAGTGTCTTTCCTTGGCCACTTCTTTGCCGTGCTCTCATCCTTCCTGACCTCTCCCTTTCTCTCCTTTAAATCATTTTCTCTTTGCTTCATTTCTGCCTATGTCTCTTCCTATTCAGTTTCCTCGCTAGGTGCTGGAGCTGACTCAATGGTGATCCAGCAAATCACAGTAGTGATGCTGCTGATGGAATAACTCCTTGGGGTTCTGTGCAGTTGCTGTGCGGGCACTGAGCTTCCAACAGCAGAAAAGGAGCAGGAAAGTCTGATGTTTGGAAAGCTGCATCAACCGCAGCTTTCATCCCTACCTCGGGGAGATGGGTTTTGGAGTCCTAGCAGTCTGCCCACCCTATGGACATAGCCAAATAACCCTAGTTCCTTCCCAAGCACTGCTACCCAGAGAGGTGCTCTGTCCTGGCTAAGGGAGCTGAGCACAAATAACTCACAAATAATGGAAATCTCCACCATGTGCCCCCAGCATTGGCACAGTTCAGAGCCCTGCGAGAAGTGCACTGCCTTGTTTGTCACCTGAAGCACTTGGAAAAATTACATGAATCCATCAAAGTAATGAATCTTCTCAGCAGTGGCAAATAGACAGAGACAGACAGGCACTCAGCTGAAACAAGTCATCTTTAAAAATTAATACAAAATAAACAGCTGGCCTTTCGCTCCGCTTCCAGGTGGTGGCTGCGTGGTTTGGGCAAGGGCTGGGCAGAGACCAATGATGGTTCCCAATGGGAGCATGTCCCTGGGGCAGGGAAGTGTCCTCTGCTGGGTCCCTGTCACCGCCACAGTGTCACCTCCATCTTCTGCTGCTCCAGGAACGGTGGTGCAACACGGTGGTGGATGCTGCACGGTGTGAGTGACTGCTTAGGAAACAGCCAAACCTTTGTGAGTGCCAAAGCCTCATCACCTCCCTACAGCCTTGCCAGGCTCCTCCCAGCACTCTGGGCTCCCACATCGGTTTGTCAGTGTCTGATGGAGCTTGTACACTCCTCAGAGGACAGGTTGAGCTTGCTCTCCTGCTTGTCACAATATGGGCTCCATAAATAATTAACAGCGGTGCTGCTGCCGCCCCCGAGCTTTGATTTCATTACTGAGGAATAACATACCCACCTATACGTGTGTGTATGTACATGTCTGCGTGTAATACACCTCCGTATGTACTTACATTGCTTAAACATCTGTTTCACCAGCCAGCCTCTCTGCTTTTCCTCTGGTCCCAAGGGCAGGTAAGCAGCAGAAGGCACTGCTCTCGACCACGAGCATCCCACCAGTGCTCCAGCTGCTCCTGCCCTGAGGCTGGGCTATTTACGAGGTACCAATGGGGCTGCCCTTGCCCTGCAGAGTGTGGGGACGGAGAGCGGGGAGGAAGACGGATGGATCCTGAATTGAGGTGAATTTATGGGGCTCCGTGATTCCTGCTGCCGTACGTCTCCAAGAAATGACACCGCCACTTCAGGAGCAGAGATTAATCTGAGTCGGCAGGAGAAGGACAAAACAAATCATCTACTGCAGGAATCTCATTTGATGCCTGTTAGTAAAAGCAGCGGGATGAATGGCTTTTGTAAAGACCGCGCCGAAACGGGCTTTTTTTTTTTTCCCCCTCCCTTCTCTCCATTCGTCTGCAAATTGAGGTCTGTGAGATGTGCAGTGGAGGCAGTCCCAGGGTCACTCACGGCCCAAGCACAGCACAAGGACCCCCAGCAGCTTTGTGCACTGTGAGACAGGACAGCAAAAAAGGGAAGGCAGAGCTCTTAGCGCATCGTATCAAAGGGAAGAATCCTTCACTTTATTTTTTTAAAAAGAGGGCATTAATTCTCCTGTCCTGCAGAACACGGGGTGAGGGCAGCCTGCAGCCCCAGACAGAACATCCCGGCGATGCTCTGTATCCCAGCCAGCAGCAGCTGGATGCGGCCCAACGGCAGCAGTACCAGCACCAAGCACTCCTGCACGCCGCTGTGCATCCCAGCTCAATACAGAATCAATCCAATTGATCTTTTTTTTTAAGGTGCAGCCTCCGAATGGCTGAGACTGTGAGAGACACAGCTAAGCATGCACTTCCACAAAATAATTTGTCAGGCCCCGCTGTAGAAACCTAATGATGGCTGTAATTTATTGCTGACAGACGATATTTATCACCGCAGCATCCCCTCTTTCTCTTTCTCTGTCTCGTTAGGAATGGCATCAATAATGTTTATTGTAGCTTTTAATTTTTTATCGCTGATATTCTTACCTGCGCTGCTGATGGCTGCAGGAGATGGGAAAGGCTTCAGAGCAGATGGAGCCTCAGCTCTGTGCTGAAGGGTGAGCAACGAAAGCTGCAAGTTCCTCCTGCGTGCCCATGCAGGGAGAATGCAGTGCCAGAGAGCACCCCGATAGCAGGGAAAAGCAAGCTGTTCCCATAAAGCTTATCCCCTCCCTGCTGAGCCTCTGGACTTGTGCAAGGGATGCTCAGACCCAGCAAGGCAGTGGCATTGCTTTGGTTTTCCCCAGACTCTACTCCCACATGGGGCTGGAGAAGGAACATCATGCCTCCTCTGCTGCACCTGCATTGCTGTGGTCATCACACCTGATGATGCCCACAAGCCCTGGGGTCACAGAGCTTGTCCCTGAAAACAGCCGAAACCCCAACTCCAATCTTGAAATCTCCTTGTTTCCCCCTTGTTTTCCTACAGTTTTTCCTACCCTTGAGGAAATGTGCAGCACCAGGTTTTGATGCCCTATAAAACAGCACTTCCCAGAGGGGATTTTTTCCCCCTTTCCAGACATGAATAATTACCCAGGCAGCGGCTGTTCCAGCGTTGTTACCGGAGCCTCTCAGACTAGCTGGTCATTTACAGATTAGATAGATGTTGCCCACGTTGTTCATAACTGATTATGGGATTGGCAGTTTGGCTCTCACCCAAAATTCAGAGTCCTGATTTAGCATAATTGGAAGTGAATGGCAGAGCAGGCTGGGGGATGGGGATGGTGCCTGCTGCTGATTTTCTAATGCCGGCTTTGGGGATCCCTGACAAGCTGCAGTGTGCTCTTTATAGGGCAATAACATTTATGGTGTGAGTTGTCCTGGGGAGGAACTCCTATGATGGCAGCAGCCACCTCCTGCCTGTCCCAGATCAAAGCTGGAGAAATCAAGAATTCCAGAAGAGCAACGAGGATGATATTAAAAAATAATCCCTTCTGTCTCAAGGTGTGGGCTTTTTTGCTTAAAGAAATTGTTCTTCTGTGTTAATCTATTCTACTTTGTGTTATCCTGTCCTTTTACTGACTTCTATTTCTTCCTTAGTTTATGCCACTAAATGTTGGGTTTCCCAGTGTTGACCCTTCACACACCCGTAGCCTTCCTTGCACTTATTCTCACAACCCCTCTCTGCTGGAGGCTCCAAGAGCACAACGCAATCCAGCCATTTGCCCAAAGCAATAACAATACCCACGGCAGGAACAACACCGAGCTCCTGCATCCTCCCCTGCCAACACTAGCCATGGAACATCAAAAATGCTGCTGGATCTGCTTGTCTTGCTTTTAGCCACCCATCAGCAAGTCCTGGGCAGGTGGCAGGTCTTGCTCTGCAAAATGCAAGCAATGGGGCTGGAGAATTTCTGAGGGCATTTTGGGAGGGGGTGAGGGCTCTTTTGCCCCCAGTCCCCCCCACCCCTTTCTTCTGACCGCCATGCTTGCTCTAATGCTCTGGCAGAGCTCTGCTTCCTGGTCCTGTGGCTTTGAGCTCATTTGTCAAACACAGTGATCTTCATGAAGGGCTGTTATTAGAGCATTTACTTCCCATTTCTCATCCTATGTTGTCATCGCCTTCCAAGATTAATTAAGGGAAGAAGACAGGACATCTTGCCTTCCATTGGTTTCCCCCTTCCCTACCTTTTGTACAGCCCCTTCATCTCCATTCCTGACCTGAGCACCGCTGGGGAGCAAATATGCAACACTCAATAGTTCCCTCTTCCCTCTTGTGGGTGATATATCAAGGTTTTGGTTTTTTTCTTACCTCTTTGTAAGTAGAAGTGCTTTGGTGAGCCTCGTCCTGAACATCAATCCTCCCCAATGGCCTCAGCTGCCAACACTAAGCCAGGAAACATCCCAAATCCATTGACTTATGGCTGCTGTAAGTGTTTGTTTCAGGCTTACCACCCCAGTCCCTGGGGCCAATATACTGGCCGTGCTGCCAGGCTCTCATGATGCTCTGCATTTGGGTCACCCTGTGGCAATCGCGTGCTTTTGTTCACTATTTCTGTTGATCAGAAACCATGACCCACGGTTCTGATAGAGAAGTGATGATGCTGGCATGCTTCTCACTCTTGCTGGCAGCACGGAGCCTTCAGCAAGCAGCCAGGATGCTCCCCCTGGGCATTGCTTTGGTCCCGCCTTTACTGACGGATGGAGGAGATGCCTCCTCATGCATGTGTTATCAGTGATCCAGAAAAGATTTGAGGAAATGCGGGATGAGCATCTGTCAGCTGCTGTTTGCATCCCCCAGGTACCCCACAGCCTGCCGTGCTGCGCGTTCGCAAGCCGCATCCCTGACATTTTGCCTCTCACATGTGAGTCAGCCAAAAAGAGGGAGAAAACTCACCCAGATCAGATGGTGGCTCCCTGATGAGATTCCTATGGCTGATGGGTTCAATGAACACCTTCATGGAAGCTTCCCTGTGGCACCTTCCTTCCATGCCATGGCATGAGAGCAACAAGAGTTGTTTCAGCTCCCTGATACGAAGCAGGCAAGAGGATGGGATGAAAGCATCCCAGCCTGTTTACCTGGCTCTCCCAGTGACTCATCCCAATGAACATCTCTCCCTGACTTTGCTGGGCTCCAGATGCTGCCTCAGTGCAAGCCTGATCCCGTGTCTTTGTGAACCATCACACCCTCAGCTCATCAACCCCAAGCCACACACGGAATAAAGACACGAAGCAGCAGGTCCTCAGCTGATGTGCATCAATATGGATCTCCTGCAGCCGGCAAAGCTGACTTACAACCAGCCGGGGAGGTAACCCAAAATGCTGCTCGTTGGAGCAAAAGAAATTTCTGCAGTAATTAGATCTGGAGCATGATTACCCAAAGGGAAACAAAAAACAAATGTGGGTGACAGATATTTCCAGGATAACTGCAGTTATTAATGCTTTTCTCTACCAGTGACAGGCACTAGGGATTAGTATTGCCTGAAAAAGGCTGGTTTACTGTGGGAAAAAATGAGGGCTGGAAATGAAGCAAGTAGAAGGCCATATGCTGCTCGGTGTGCTCGGGGGGTCCTGGGAGGATAGCTTTAGCCAAAACAACAAAGGCAAATATGTGAGGCATATGTGAGGAGAAACATGAACCTGTTGCTTGTAAGTTACCAGTTTGAAAGAAAGGGAGAAAAAAAACACAAGAGGGAACCTGTCATTCTCGATTTCTCAAGCTCACCCTGAATTAGCAACCCTGTTTGTGAGTGGTGAGGCTGAGTCTTGGGCTGCAAATCTTCAGGTTGGTGCGAGCATGAAGCCTTGCCTGCCCTGTGGCCTTGTGCAGAGTGATGTGCGTGGTAGCACAAAGCAACAGCCCTGCATCACACACCACAGGGCCTTTCCCTCTGTTTGTTGCATGAGCTGTTGTCCTTCTCTGTATGGGAACGGTGGAAAGGCACCTTCCCCGGGGAAAGGCTCGCATCGTGGCCTTGCTGCACAGCTTGGACAAGCAACTGAGAGCTCAAATATGACCAAGAGGATGGCTGAAAGCTTGAGAGCTGTGTGTGGGCTGCTCCAGGGTGTGGGAACGGCATGGGCTCAGCCACCCCAGGGTTTGCTTTGGGCGTGCGCCTGTGAGCATCTCCCTCTGCTCCACGCATCAGTCAGCACGGCTGGCTGCCGAGAACCACATGGGCTCCCTGAAAACCATCAGATCCTGCCTCGCTAAGAGGTTTGGAAGCAAGCAGGGCTAAAACAACAACATGGGCTAGGCATTAAAGTCAGGGTGAGGAGGGTTTTTTTTTCCTTTTGAATGGAAGGAGTGTTGACATCTGGGGAGTAACAAGATTAATTTCTAACGTGGTGGTTTGCCAATAAGCATAATTTGAAGCAAATTGTTTGTGTTCTGGTGTTTGCCCTGGCTCACAATCCCCACAGGTGATGCAAAGGGCCAGACCAGGCAGGAGGTCCACCCAGCTCACAGCCCCATCTCCTCCTGCAGGTCCTGGGAGAGCACAGGATCTTTACAGCAGGCAGCTGTGAGAGCCTGCCCACAATGAAGCTGGAAATCAGATATCAGAGACTATCCAAATTATATTGATAGGGCAAGGGGAGATGGTTTCAGACTACCAGAGGGGAGATTTAGATTGGATACAAGGAAAAAAGCCTTGTACAATAAGAAGACTGGTGAGGCTCTGGCTCAGGTCATACAGGGAGGTGGTGGATGCTCCTCCTTCTGTGGAGACATTCAAGGTCAGGCTAGGGGGCTCTGAGCAACTGACGGAGCTGTAGGTGTCCCTGTGCATTGCAAGGCAGTTGGACTAGATGACACTTAAGGTCCCCTTCCAATTTGAATGACTCTGGGATTCTATGACATGTGGCACCATCAGTCTTGTTGGCTGGTGAAAAGCCACCTGCATCCTCATTTCTCTTATGGACTGGGTAGTAGTAGCAGCTCCTCAGTGGGGTGCCTGCATGGTTAAAGCAGAGTGAAAGCCCCTAAATATCTCACCAAAGAACATCCCCTACCACTGCTGGGGATCCATGCCTGGATGATGAGGTGACAAGGAGGTGTGAGGTGCCACCAGGAGGTGGGAATGGCCGTGTGTTAGGGCAGGATAAGCACTGAGGATGCAGACAAAGGAAAACAAAGTTAAAACGGGAGACAGGAAACAACCCAGTGTGCTGAGCAGGCAACAGCTGCTGCCAAACACACCTGAGCTGGGTAATCCTTGATATCTGTCTTTTGGGGCATTGCTTAACAGTATAATTGAACTGTATACTTTGACTCTGCCCATGGGCTTTCCCCCATCACCCATAGCAGACAGCCCCACCTGCTTCCACATCTTACTTCTTCAGGTTGATTGGTTTATTCCATCTTCTGAGATGCGTTATGGTGATTTGGTTTTTAGTTTCCAAATGATATCGTTGTTTAGAAATTGTTTTGACACCAGTTGATTTTTGCTGTTGATGTTCTGCATCTCCACAGTCCTGGAAATACGACAAGACAGGATCTCTACAATCCCTCTCTCATTTAGAAAACTGATTTCCTATTTGACCTGAAAACTGAATATCTTTGGCTAAAAGATAACATACTATAGAAAATGGTGGATGCATGCTGCTGGAACTTGATGATCTGGAATTGCTCTTTTTAAACTCAAAAAAGTCCCCAACCCCAAACAAAATACCCTACCTCCTCCACATTTCCATCGCCCAAAACGCTGATGAGGAAAACTCAGACAGCTGGGAAGCAGTGCTGAGATAGGAGCTCTTCCTATGGGAAAGCAAGATATTTATTTAAAGACAAGACTGAATTCCAATAGACACAAGGAAATGTCAAAATATTGCACAAGCAGGAAGAGGAACGCACACAATTGTCTCTGCAGCCTGCGCATAATGAATAACTTAGCACCTGGGCAATGCAGAAGTTATAACAAAGCAAGTCAAAGGAAGGCAATGCTGTTGGAAGGGGGGAATGGCACTTTGATCCTTGGCCCAAGATAGTGTAAACAGACTGTTGTTTAGGCAGGTAGAGAAGAAAAATGTTACAGGAGGAGGAACAGGAAGCACCGGGCAGCCCAGTGCATCCACCTGAGAGTGGTCAGCTGGAAGCAAACACCATGCCTGCAGAGCTGTAAGAGGCTGCAGTATCAATCTGAATGAACCATGGCAGTGGGTTTAGGCATGATACCTCTGGTCTGAAAGACTGAAGTGAGGTGGATGCCCACCTCATGAGCACGGCATGAATGACTTGCAGCTGAGTGCAGGCACATGCGAAGGAAAGCCTTTGGGAATACAGGTTGGACACAGCTGAGAACTGCTTCCCAACAGAGATGCATTTGCAGGACAGCAGCATTCATGGTTTGTTTTGGAGATTGCAACTGAAACCACCTAGAATTAAATTTTACTGCAGCACAGAATGGTTTACTCCTGCCAATTCCCATCATAATCCCTTTATTTACTCTCTTATAGGTTTATTCTCTAAGCAGGAATTGACAATGGGCAAAGTTCTGTTCAGCTGCCTTTCAATTTTCAAATTATTAAATGGAATATTGAGCTCGGCTAAAATCACAACATTCTTTCCAAATCCTCAGTTTTTTCAGTTGCTTCAGAACTGTCTGAAAGCGTAAAACTAGGAATAGAGGGAACATGATGCTTTTTTTTCCCTCTGTTAACACATTGCTGATTTTTTCTGTTCCCCACACTGCGTTCACTCCTAAGGTTGTATCCTTCCCAGACACTGTGCACTGCACACTTTGCCTCCGAGGGTTCCTTGTACAGAACCCTACAGTGTGAAGCATGCTTGGAATCTTGAAACTCGTTTTGGGATGTACAAATGGGAGAACAACTGGCTCACCACAAACAGCATCTGCTTTTCCTCATCACCTGCGAGCTGATGGCATGCCATGGATGTAACGAAGATGAATGCTGCTGCAGCACTGGAACCCAAAATAGAGACCACAAGGAGAGGGGGGGGAGAAGTTTTCTGACCCTTTGGCTCCATTGATGGGGATGACAGTGATGAAGGCAGTGTGGGTCTCGCCGCTTCCCATCAGCTTGTGGAGAGGTTTCAGCTGGAGACTTCCCGGCTGCCTGGCGTTGGAGAGCGCTGCCACGTAAATCTAGAAAGGATGAATTAAAAAGAAGGGCAAAAAAAAAAAAAAAAATAGAAATGGTGATGAATTAATCCTTCCCCGTGGCATTAGCACAACCCCGCACCTCTCCTCCTCGTCAGCGGTGAAAAATGCCTCCTCTCAGGCAGCAATTACCCTGCCTTGCCTCGGCCCTGCAGCCCGGCCCGTGGTGATGGATGAGCCCCGGCCCCGCGGCCATCTGCCACCCCCATCCTGCTACTGCACCGTGGATCAAGGGCGAGCAGGGAGGACGTGGCAGTGATGAAAGGTGTCTGGAAAAGCGTGAATTGGAGTGGGAGGAGAGGAGATGAGTGAAACGGAGCAGGGAGAGGGGAACAGGAGGTGGAAAGGTGGCAGGGGAAAAAACTGGGGGCAAGCTGGGTGCTTGGCCAGAGCACTCACTGCGCACGCTGCAGTAAGGTGGAAGAGGGGTGATGCTCATGGGGGTTGGAGGGCTTTTGAGATCAAAGAAGAGACGAGCAGGATATGTGCGGGACGGGGCTGTTTGTGGCTGCTGACACAATCTTCCCAAAGGCAGCAACCCACCTCTTCCTAGGAAAAAGAAAAAAATGGTGCTTAAAGTATATATTACCTTAGAGCAAGGAGTACAAAATCTTTCTACTCTAAAGGGCATGGGACAGCGGTAGAGATTAACAGCCTTACTATTTATCTCAGCAGCAGGAAGCCAAACATCATCTCTGGATTTCCCCTTGCGTTTTCTTCTCCAAAGGGATGCACTGGGTTGTCTGTGGGTGGGAAGATTTTAACTGGAGGAATCTGGGAATATACTGGGAACCTCCCTCCATCGTTAGGGAGAGAAGTTGTGGTGTTGCTGAGGGAGCTCTTCTAGGCTGGGCAGAAGCACACTGAAACCAGGCTGTCCACCTCTGGTACGTCCAGGTTTTATCACATCTGTGAGACCTGCAGCTTTGACGACGCACATTAAAGCAGAATCACTTGGGAGGATACTAGTTTACTTGCACCAAGAACTCCAGATTCAATTTATAAGGCTAATAAACCTATTTTCTTCACAAGCTTGATCCCAGATTTGCCCCGTACTGCTCGGGTCAGATGGAGCTTTATGTTGGAGCTGAGATCCTTCTTCAGCCAGGATTTACAAACAAAAATAATACGACAGAGGAGAGATGGTGCTTCTGAAGATGCTCCGAAAACGCTCACGCAAGCAGAAAGGGGCCCACAAGAATTATTCCCCATCCAGCAGCCAAGCCAAAGCTCAGGACACCGTCCTTGCTCTGTCTGTCAGCCCAGCTCCTGAAAAAGAACAAATCTCATTAATGGTTGCCATAGATTTCGGTGATGCCGCACAAGGGCCATAACGCGGCGAGGCTCTTTAAAATGGGAGATAAACCATTCTCAGCTTCACGACACGCTGGGTGCAGGAAGATAAACAGCATCTCCAGGGATGCTGGAGGAAGAGCACGCCAGCAGCACGCCCACATCTTGCTTGCACTGAGCTGCTGGGATGAGACCATGAGTGAGCATCCAGCGGCAATAAATGATAATTTCCTTCGGATGAGAAGGAGGAAAAAAAACAAAACAAAACCAACTTTCCCCAACTTAATGTAATTATTAGCATTAATAATTATAGAAGAGAAGATGGTAATTAGCAGAGCTAGCCCTGTTTGCAGGTGGGAATAGCTGAGTTTACTCTTTTCCCCTATCATTTAAAAGCGGATTTAGCAATAAGACCATGGAGGAGGCATCCAAAGGCACATGTGGTGGCTCCTGCAAGGCCAGGATTGGGGATGGATTGGTGTCATCTGGGGAAAAATACTGCTGGGAGAGAAACAGGGATTAGTGATAGCTGAATAAACGGAGTCATGGAGTCACAGAATGGGGAAGGGCCTCTGGGTCCATCTGGTCCAACCCCCACTCTAACAGGGACACCCAGAGCTGCTTGCCTAGGGAGCATTCTATTAGGAAGCACTAACTGGGGAGTAATGCATTAAGGGCCAGGAATTCTTTGTTTTCAAAGCACATTTTGGAAAAAAGAAAACCTTCTTCCACGGTCTCTGAGTATTTTTGTTCAGATAGGATGTGTGCCCTGAAGGACCAAAGTTGGGAATTTACAAGATGAAAATAGTGGGAACAAGGAGGTAACATTTGCCCATTGCTGTTTCTTTTCTTTTCTTTTTTTTTTTTTCAATGCCTCCTAATTTTGGCAAGACACCTGTAAGCTAAAATATCAATTCTTAACTAGAGGAAGCATTCTCCCCCTCCTTCTTCCTCTTCCCCCAGTCCTCTTTTTCACATATTTTTTGGCTGATAGAAAGAGCAGAATAATCTCATCTGACGTTTTGGGATATATTCCCAGCGGGAGCTGTAGAAATGCCACCTGCTACCTGCATGCTGGGTTTGATCACAAATCAATAGCACCCAGTGTTCTGCACAGGATCTCATATTTTAATGGCCAGCAAGTGCCTGGCTGCTAATGAAATTACATCCTGAACTCTGTAGACTTACTCTGTTAATGCCATTGTGAACGATGCTCCTTAAAACACCAGCTTTGGGGGGAAATTAAAGAGTGAATTGGGAAATACTGGTTTCAACCCCTGCCTCAAACCTGAGAAGCACCTCTCCACCCTCTGCGAGCAGCAATGGGCAGGAAAGACCTGTTGAAAAGCAAAGATGCTAAGTGCTCCCTGTCTGGGGAGGCCATTAGCATCCAATCCATCCCAAGACAGAATTGATTGATGGTTGGATTGGAAGATCTTAGTGGTCACCTTAATGATTCCATGATCTGAAGGATGCTCCCTGACAGCACACCCCCACCCCCACCACATCTTAGGCTCAACTGACTTCCAACACCCCACTTCTCTGGGAACCTGGGAGCAGTGAGAAGCCCTGAGTACAGCTTTCAGTGCCCTGAGCTCTTCTGACATTGGGAGAGGAGCATCCTGGCTGTCTTTGGACCCAGCTGGATGGTAAACAGCACCAGAGCCATTTGCAAGCCTTCAAAGTTCCCACATGATTATGTGAGCAAATATTTGGACTGGAAGTGCTGTTAGTCATTATTTGCAGTTCATTTTCTCGTATTTGTTCTCTGTCTTCTAAATAAAGAGAAAAAAGAAAAAAAAAAAAAAGAAGAAAGCCAAGACGACAGCTCACAGCATTCACATCCAGCAGCACAAATGACACCTGTTTTTTTCAGCTTTGCAGATCCCTGGGTGATGCTGCAGCACAGCAGCCTGTGCCAGGCAGTGGTTCACCCCTTGTTTGGAGCAGGGTCCTGAACACCCACCCAGACACCCCTGATATCAACCCAGCTTGGCTGGTGCACAGAGGTTTTCTAGATTTACATCCTATGCCACAGAAACAAGAGTAATTTTCCCTGCTTTTTGGCCTCCCTGGATTTGAGGGCTTTCCTGCTTCGCTGCTATTTGGCACCTCATTTGGAGGTCTGATCGTGGCAGCAGCTGTTACCCAAGCTTGGGGCTTAGCACTATTAATCATGTCAGGAGGCAGCAGCCTCACCTCCAGTGGGACACAATGCAGCTGGTGGCATGTTTGCTGAGGGAGGGTTTCCACCTGCCCATGTAAGTGCAAGGCTCCCTGGGCACCAGAGGCATGAGAGCAGTGATTTTTACTTTTACACTGCAGGAGCTCCACGGCAGTGCTGGCATCTGAGCTAAAAAGAAAGGCATGGTGTTGCTTGTTCTGGCATAGCTGGTGACTGAGGAGAACGGTGGAGCCAGGACCCAGCCCCTGCTTGTCCCATCTTCTGCACAATAGGGTCATCCCAACACTCTATTTCCATGGCATGAAGGGAGGTGATGGAGCCACTGTCCCTGGAGGTGTTAAAAAGCTGTGGAGATGTGGCACTGAGGGATGAGGCACAGTAGACATGGTGGGAGTGGGTTGGGACTGGACGATTTTAGAGGTCTTTTCCCATCAGAATGATTCTCTCACAGTTTCTGGCTTGCAGTGACTTGTTTCTCCCAGGAAAATGTAGACAGAAAACATGTCCAGCTTTTTCAGCATTTCAGTCCTTACAAAAATCCCCAAGGCAGAAGCTCCTTAGGGTGAAGGTTTCTTCTCTGGCACCTGCAGAGAAGATCTGAGACCACCGGCGTCACCAGCGACAACAGGGAACTACAGCAAAAACCTCCTAAATGCTCCCAGCCCCTCCATCTCCTAGCAGACATTCAGGGCTTTCTGTGGTCTCTTGTAGAGATGGAGAAAAGATCTTGTTTCTGCAGGAAGCACAGCTTTCTTGCAAGCACTCGCGCTGAGAACAAATGGGGCTTTTTGCAGAAATGACTTCAAACGTCCTCGTCAACAAGAAGAGAAAAAGACTGAACTGGTGGAAATAGGTGGCCCAGCGGAAATAAAGTTAATGTAACATGGCAATATCCAACCAGCTTCTGTTTACCAGATAATCTCTCCTCTGAGCCACACATTGATGTGACTATTAATAATGCACTGTTATAAAAATCCATCCTTGTAGGAGGAAGGATGCTGTCAAGACTCGGGTAATTTCTTATTTTCAGTGAAATATGGATAACATTTGTGTTGTTTCCAATCCCTCTTTTCAGGTTGTTTTCCGTTTCCACTTTAATAATAATCTTTAGGACTAAAATAGCACCTTGCTTTTACAACTGGAGTGACCTTTAGTATTATACACTGATTAGCTGGAAACAAGCAACTTGTTCAGTTTCTGGTCAGCAATAAATACTGTGACCTTCACCTCAGTGGATTTCAGCAGGTTGGGTTGGTTTCCACTACTTCTAGCCTGCTGATGGGGAAAATGAGGCAGAAGGCAAGAGAAAACACTTACTTGGCAATGCTGGGATGGGGTCCGGGAGAAGCGCTGGTGTGGAAGGATGGTTTTCCCAACCAGAAGTGATAAAAGTCCTGATGGCACCCTCCAAAAAAACCAGCGTGGTGCCACTTGAAATGCCTAAAGCTTTTGAATAAATGCCTTGTTTACCAACACACACACTGGGGTTGACAGATACAGGGGGAAAAGCAAGACTTCCAACACGTCTACAACCTTACTTGGCCTATAGCTCCTTAGATACCAACCCATACCTATGCAGGGAGCTCAGGTTTTTTTGACAAAGGTTTAAGGGCTATCCTTGGAATACAGAAGACTCTCACCTCCTCCAAGAAGCCGTCAAATGCTGGAGAGCAACCTGGTAATGTAACTGCTGTACTGGAGCAAAGACAAGAGCAGACATCTTTAGTGTGATGAACTGTGGCTCCCAAGAGTTCAGAAACTTTCAGTCACATCAGGGAAACTGACAGGGTAGCTTAAAATGAAACATTATTAGGATAACAATGGAATGCTGCATCCTCTGAAGGGTAAGGGGCTAAAGGACAAGAGAAAAGGTAGCACTTGCAGATGGGAACATAATGGTCATGCTCATCAGGTCTTTATCTGCTCCTGGGGTTGCTCAGGTTGAGTTTCCTGCTGGTAGGTCTGCTCAGCAAAGCTTGGGTGGGCAACTCCAGCTCCTTGCCCATGGGGCTTAGCTTTTGAAGTGGTTTTCCAGGCACTTAGAAGGGTAAATCAAGGACTATCTGCTGACCTGGAGTACATCCTATGGGTATGGCCACCTGAGAACTGTCCTGGGCTGCCTCTGCTCCTCCCTGCTTTACTTTGCCTCCAGCATGAATTAGCTAAGTAGGGATATTTTTTAAATATTATTTTTTAAATTATCTGCAGTGATTAAATGAGAGAGGACATCGTGCCCAGTGACCCTGGCGTGCAATTGAACTCCAGGAGCACATCAGGAGCGAGTTACAGAGCGGCCAGGACAAAAGTTACGTCAGCAGAACGAAATCAGCAGTAACTTCTGATGAAAAGAAGGAGGCTGAGGACAGTGAGGAGCCAGCATCAGGGCAGAAATTGCTCAAACCAGAAGAGCCAGCAGCGGGAAGGATTGCCTGGCTGCACACCCACCTCCAAGCAGCACCCCAATGTTGCAGATGAGCATGTGCAGATCAGCACTCGTCTATCCTGGTGTGCACCTCTGACAAACCCCAAGCAGCATCCAGGTGCACAGCATTTGAGGGGCTGCCAGAAAGTCCTGGGAGCTTCTGCACCCCACAGCCACAGTTGGCTGTGATGATGTGATGGAAAGCAATCACTTTCAGTGACAAGATGCAAGACAGCACCTGTATCCTGCCAGGCTGCATCTTCTCAGCCTCATCCAGGCTTCCACGCAGCAGGATCTAGTTTCTCACCTGCCCTTTCTTTCATAAACAGACTCATTCCCTTTTCGAGCAGGAGCAAGAGCCATCA